GGGGAACACTTGAGGGAAGTTTGGGAACGGATGTGCTGCTGAGTCCTTACGTCCCTGAACATGTTTTAGACTAAATGATCCGTTCTTTTCGCGTTTTCGTGACCCAGTCTCCTACTCGTCAGTTCTCTTTGTCGTCACGCAACGGTCCTCCAGTTTTGGGGGTAGACATAAACACAATAGAAGCTCTTCAAGCCCTAAGAGTGATCAGCGTCAAATTTCTCCTTGTAATATCAATGCATTATAAAACAAAGTGGTCATGAGAATTAAGGACATGATCACACAAGATGAATCCAATTGATACTTCAAGAAATTCTCCCCACTACTTCTATTGAAAACGTGTAGGGATAACAAATGAGAATTTGAATTTTGATTCTACGGTTTAAGGGGTTGAAGAGTAGTCTCCCTAATCCGCTTTGGGATAACATGGAAAGAGAGTGTAGGCGGAAGCTATTCTGCCCTCTCTGGATATTTGTATAAGTGTTTATGGACCCATGGGATCGTAGGTTCACCAAACTTAACCAGTCGTTTATGATACACATTTTAATATTATTAGACTCTTTGCATTAACACGATACTCTTACTAAATTTACTACAACATGTATGACTTTTTCCTTTGCGTGAGTCAAAACGTTACATCCTAGAAGGAGAAAAGTTGACGTGCATTCATTATTTCTTGTAACAGCGTCGTCTGCAGCAATATCTCTATCATTTTCAAAACCTTTTTGTTTTTGTGTTAACTATCATTTGGAAGTAATATTTCTTTTTCTGTTCCTTGTCGTTTATCTGTGTCATCATTTTGTTTATTCTGCTCGTTACTATCATCACTGTCTTGATTCTTCTCCTGTTTCTTTTCATCGTCCATCTTATTATACGCCTCGGTAAATTTCTCATCAATGAAGCTCTCCACCAGACCTTGGATCTCCTCTTTATCTGGGCATTCAAGTTCGTCAAGAATCCGCCGGATATCTTGTACAGCTGCAGATGTGGATCCACGATGCAGCTCCAAAAATGATTTGACGAGTAACGTCATACCCAGCGGCAACAGAGCGGCGCTGATTACAGAACCAGCAACGTGTACCGCGCGCGTCCCCGCCATAGCCGCACTTCTGGCTACAGCGCCTGCAGTAGCGGCCGATGATGGAGATATTAGAGGATGTTAGCATCAACAACGACTACGAGTACGAGAACGAGTTCAAGCCGCACTCGTACTCGAAGTCGTTTTCTCAGCTTTCTATGTTAGCGATGACACCGAGTTCGAGTTTATAGAAAATAAAATTATACAGCACTCACACACACTAACTGCACACTAAACAGCTTATACCTCTTGAATAACAAAATAACTGATAAAGGTAAAAATCTCCTAAAATCATTGAACACAAACTGTAAAGTAGATATCTAATCCTTGTATGCAATGTAAATGTTTCTCTTTTGAAGGAATTTTGGATTTTGATTTAAGCTTCAGCAACCTTCAGTCGCTAGGATGTATTGAGATTGCGAAGTTGTTACCTGGCAACCAATACAATCAGGGTTTTTGCGAACTAAAAAGATTAAACCTCGCTTTTAATCAGATAACTGATTAACACCACACTAACTACAAACTAAACAACTTAAAGCTGAATCAATATTGCTTTTTCTAAACTTAAAGCTCAATAAGATAACTGATGGATGTATAAAACGCTTCAGTGCCGGCACCGCACTCACACATACTAACTGCAAAAGAAACAAAGCTTAGACCTTAGAGCTAACAAAATAACCCAGCAAGGGAAAAATATCTCAAAAGCAAGGAAAATAAACTATAAAGTATTTATCTAAGCATGTGTAAATATATTTTTCTGAACAGCAATAATTCTTTGACATTATATTTTCGGTTTTTTAAAAAGAAGTTAAGTTTTTTGAGTTCGTCAATCAGGTAACTTCTAAGCAATCTCGAAGCACTTAGGTTTCTGTTTATATATTGTTTTTTTCGTAATAATAGTGTGGGTTTTTGTGAGAAGAGAAAATTTGTTTGGTCACTACTATAGCTTTACATAGCAATAGGGCCGGGTCTGATTAAAAAAAAAAAAGAACAATGTGTATTAATGACCCATAATGAAGACTGGAACAAATTGATGGATATATAACTTAGATAACTAAACATACAGCTACATATGAAGACATTTTCCTTTAGGAATGTTAATAGTATAATGTGATAATCATAGTTTCACTGATTTACAGTAAGTGTCACCTTAGAATTCTATTTTGCAGTTATGGCTTTTTCTAAAAGTGACTGATACATCATGTTTAGCTTTGCTGTAATTATTCATCCTTGTATATAAGTTTAGTTTTTGATATGATTAAAGTTCTGTTAGACCAATATTATAGATGTAGGCCTGGCCTCCCTCCTTATTAAATCAATCTGTGCATCCAGCAAAATGCGGGGGAAACTGCTTTTGGGAGAGAAAAAGCAGAGATGGGTCTAGCAAGGGGATTGCACGGGAAGGGGGGAGGGGTGTATGCACCCCCTTTTACCGCACAGATACTTTATCTTTGGCTCAGATGTAAAGCTTTGTACATAAACTGTAACGGATCCAGACCTACTTGAGGTAGTTTCAAGGTGGAGCGGTTGTTTCATGCCCAAAATAAAGTGCAGAGCTTCGATTTTGGCCAATAACTGAATAAAGGAAGGGCCTCCCCATTAGTTGAGTTTAAAAACCTTTTTTGCTGATCAAGTAACAAGATATCCTGCCCTGAATAGTTTGAAATCAGCGGCCTTACCGGAGTCAGAAGGCAAGATTTCACCAACTCACCTTTCAAAAACTGTTAACTGCGGCCACCTCTTTTGTTATTGACTAAGACCCTGTTTACATGGAGTGGGGGACCCCGGTCTAGTGGGGTAAATTTCTTTTGTTTTGTGTCCACCAGAGCGTGAAAACAAAAGAAACCAACCCCACTAGACCGGGGTCCCCCACTCTATATCCATGTAAACAGGCCCTAAATGGGTGCGAGTTAACACACCTGCTAACATAAGAAGTAACAATTAAGCGGAAATCCAAGATCACCGTATTAGGGTGCTGTTCAACAAAAATGCGTGTTTTTATCCTGGGTTGAGCGGGGGGGGGGGGGGGGGGGGA